TGGGTTCCTGGAGATGGTTGTTTTGGGCAGTGGTGAAAATTGTGAAAATCGACAAATTGAAATGTTGGTGAAATTTCATGAAAGTGCACTTTTGGCTTGCTGTTTTATATGTTTTTTTTTTTTTTTTACAATATGTTAGTAAGAAGTGCACTCTACAGAGAGGTGTAAAGTATGGTTAGAATGACCCTTTGGTTTTCTAATAAATGAGGGTGAAAATTGGGGGGTCGGTTAACCTTCTCTCTCGATGATGAGACTTTACCAGCATTGTCAATTTTGAGCTCTTGGTGTCTTCTTATTTAGCGAAACTCGTGATGCAATTCTGCTGTTGGTTCGAGTCAGGACTATCTGGTCTTGTGTATATGATGCTGTTTGATTTCTGAAGTTCGCTATCGCTCATTTTCCTTGCATTTGGTGTGATTTAAATTTACTATTTCTTTTATTATTATTATTATTGATAGATTGGTATTATCGTTATTATTATTATTATTATTATTATTAGTAAAACTCAGACTCGCTTTTGTTCATACTTCTCATGCATGCAAACATGAGCACATCAAACTGGCGACAAGCGCCTACTCAAACTCAGAGATATGGTAGCCGAGAACATAATTCAGGTACAAGTTCACTTCACTGGCTAGGACGACACAACGCCCACACAACTCCGGATCACCCTGGATACCCCACGCACACACTCTGTAACACACACATGCATACACACCTACCACGAACCACGACAGCTATGGTCACCCACTAACATTAACATCAAGCAGTTATGGTTGCGCTAACTCTCCTCCAGCCCACTTCGGCTTCATGCCTCTGCAGACCACCTCACACAGGTCAATGTGGCAGCGCTTCCGAGGGCTTCCGCGGGAATGAATGAATGGCTGGGCGTTGTCGGCGCAAATACCCTTACAAGGGTATCCGCCCTGTTTTTTTGCAAGTGGCAGAAAATAGGTTTGGTTTGAAAATTTGAGTACACTGCACGAGTTGCGGTTGTGTTTTGTTCATGTTGACTGAATGGTTGAGTTGAAGTAAAGAGTGTGTGAGCGCGGAGTTTTGAGGCGTGCGTGATGATTCTCATTTTGATGGTATAGAGTAGGCGTTCCTGCCGACAAAATTTTTGGCTTTGATTAAAACTAGGAAAAGTTTTCTTTTATTGAAGTGACCATGGTACACCTGCGTTCATACGACATGCGTCATCGGAAGTGGTGTTGCCTTGGGCAGTAATTGGGGCGTGCACTTTGGGGGCGCGCGGTGACCTAGTTAGATGGATGACCAGTATGAGGGACGAGCTCACTCAAAACAGCGCTAGCTAGGAGAGAGTTAGGATCTGGATTAGCATCCCGCGTACTTTGGTCGCGCGCACACTGTCGGCATTACGGTCGACGTCGGGGTTGACCATTGAAACCAAGTCTCTTCAACGCCGAGATAGTAAAAACGCGATTTTTTTTTAAGTAGTGTGGCGGGTCGAGAAGGCCACAAGTCTACCTGACGACACTATTAGGCTAAGTGCGCAGCAGGTACAAGTGAGAACCGCCCCTAGAATGGGAAGTGCAGGCGCAAGGTGACCATGGGCTCGGATAGTAGGCAAAGCGGTGGCCTGGTGTGTTTCAGTATGCCCGAGCTGGCTGCAATGGCTCTTTATATAGAGAATTGCGCCCACTAAGTTCAGGCTTGGGCTTAGCCCTATTGGTTACAACACTGAACTACCAGCATGCAGATCCCGAGATCGAGACCTGCAGCCAGCAGTAGAGGAGCAAAGGAGCGTACTTTGGCGAAAACCTGAGGGGTTGAGAGTCCCGCGGGACTATCCCCCTAGGTTTTGTCGGGGAGTCCGACCGCGGGCCTGCGAGGCAGGACCAAGTACCATCGGTTCCCCTCTCCTATCCGCCTTTCTAATTTTGACCTCTAAGTTATTAATATTTATTTTTATTTATATTTTTTTTTATTTTCTATTTTAGTCCCGTTTTGAACGAGGTCAGGCACAGGGGGCCAAGAGCACCGCGGGGAGGCCCACAGCAGCACTGCCGTGAAAATCGTTCGCCGGACTTGGGTATAAGGGCGAATCGAACCATTCTCCGGAGCTTCCCTTAAGACAGTCGTGCTGCTATGAGCGCTGCCCGACTCCTGTGGGATCGGCCGCTGCCGAGGAGTTGTACTAGCAGCGGAAGAGAGCAGGAGTGGGGCACAGCCCGGGGATGTGTCGATGACTATCTAGGACCTGTTGTGAGAGATTGGAGTGTGAGCATGGTCGTAGGAGTCTGGGAGATGGTGAGCCTTATGCCTGATGGTGGAGCGAGGTGAAGAGCGGGGTGAGCGCACGACCACAAGGAGAGGCGGACAGGAGGAAAGATAGTGCAGAGGCGGACGAGGTGGTGGGGACGATTGAATGAACCCCATTAGAGCGTCGGGTGCGTATAGAAAATGGAGCAGCGCTAGGCAGTAGCAGGCGGGGCAATGGCGCAGTGGGCAACGGGCACCCAGGCAGTGAATCGAGGAAGCAGAGTGTTGGGCGCTGAGGCAGCAAAGCAAGAGAGCGAGAGGGAGACTGAACCCGGACGCGGGCCTGGCCAGGTTCATGCTGAAGCACAGTGGGCGATGGCGGAGCCGGGCGGAGGGAATCACGCTGAGAGGAGCATAACTCTCTCGATCCTTAATGAAATCGAGAGAGGAAAGGGGCGATTCCGGGGTTTTTGCCCCGGGCGAAGCAGATGGGGAGGTTAGTTTCGGCGACAAATTAGTAAAATAGGTGATAGGAGAGGGGACGACCACGCGGAGTTAAGGTGGGAGTGAAAACGAACGAGGGAGGGAGTGCATGGTTTGCCCGACTCTTGACGAGATCGGGTGACTGGAGATGTCTGACCAGGGTTTTGGGACAGGGCGACCTCGATTTTGAGGTTAGTCTGACTGGTAGCCTAGTGGATTAGGAGTTAGTAGAGAAAGTAGGCGCAAGGAGATATGGTGCAAAGATGGATATGGTAGTGAGTGAAAGGGAAGATCTTGCTCATTTCTTAATAAAAACAAGCGAGAGAGGAGTCGTTCAGGAGGTTTTGAAGGGTGGCGATCTCGAAAATAAAGTTAGATCGATGAGAAAGTTACTGAACTAAAAGTTAGTAGGGAG